AACAACTACATTGAATCAATAGCTTCATCTACTGCAAGGAAAGTTGGTTTTCTGTCTCACATTGGAAGGTTTTGTCCACCCTTCAAATCTACAAATCTACCATTCGTCCTTGTATTGAATACTGTTGTCATTTATGGTCTGGTACCCATACTGTTCATTTCGAGGTCCTAGACAAAATCCAGAGACAAATATGCAATGTGATAGGTCCTGATCTGGCAGCTCATCTACAGTCACTTTCTCACAGATATTATGTTGCTTCCCACAGTCTTTTCTACAAATATTTTCATTGCAACTGCTGGTAACCAAACTGCATGAACTTAAGCATGCTACTAGGTTGGCATCTCGGTCCCACCCTTTCTGCGTCAAAGCAGTTAAATGTAACCACCTCTTCTACTCCGACAGCTTCTTCCCTCACACTTCCTGTCAGTGGGACTCCCTTCCTTCTACTTGCTTCCCTGATAGCTATAATCTTCAAATGTTCCAATGTAATGTCAATTGACATCTTCTGATGCTTGATCCTGATCCCTGTCCTTCTCTATATCCTTTCCTCAAACTACCCCTCTTTACTTTTCCTCTGTAACCCCTTGTATGCTAGTGGTACTCCTGATTTGCTTGGGGTAAAATGCTTAAAAAAAATATAATAAGGAAAGAGGGCTTGGAAACTTTGATACTCACAGGAGAGATTGAAGGCAAGAGGGAGAGAAGAAAACAATGCATAACCTGTCTAGTGAGCTTGGGTAAATGGATGGCGGAACACAGTTTAGTAGAGATAAAAAACAGTCAAAGTTTATTAAAAGCTACAAAGAATAGGAAGTTGTGGAGAGCTGTGATCGACAAAATCCCCAAGGGACGTGGTGCAGAGAAGAAGGTAGTATTCTTCCTCTTCAGTATATAAATTTTTTTTACATTCTCTGAATAATGAAATAGAAAAAGATTTTTCTTTATATCTTAACTTTAAATTTTATAAGAAGATTTTATAAATAATGTGTGATTGTATTTCTAATAAATGAAAAAGAAAATGGATTATAAGAATCTGTAGAAAAACCAAATTTTATCTCCTTTTCTTCTGTCAGGGAAAACCAATTCTTTACATTCTTTTCAAAATTCAAGAAAATATCTTCCATCATTTGCCATGCATAAATCTGACGACCATTACACCACCAACTTCCAGCAATGAAAATATAAAAGAAATGCATATTCAGGTGATTTTCAAAAAAACAATTGCTATTTTGAATCTAAGGAAGAAAGCCAAGCTTTATAAACAAAAGGAATCATTATGTTAGCATTTACATTTACAGGGATTTCCATTTGTTAAGCTTTTTTTTTTTTTTTTTTGGTCTTTTCTTTCTTATAAGATCTTATTCATATGCCTCAATACAAATCAATTCTATTAAGTTTTTGCCCCTGTTTTTTTTTTTTATATTTGTATCAAATTGAGCAGAAAAGAATCATGGAGCAGAGTAGCTCATTAAGCTTGAATGATGTAAAGAAATCAATCAGAAATAATTATTGAAAAATTGACTATCAATTAATGGAGAGAAAAGAATAGAATCTCAGTTAAGCACTTAATTTAAAACTGTAACAATTAGACAATGCAATCATTAGTATGAGAAAAAAAAGAACATCTAAAACGAATATTAAGAAAGTAAATTTCATTAAGAAAAAACAAACAGTGAAAGAATAAGAAGAAACTAAAGAAGCAATAGAAGAAATTAAACATTTTTTTTCTTCTTCTTCTTCTTCCCTTCCCTTCCCTTCCTTAGAAATTATCAGGCTATTAATTAGTTGCATTCGTCGATGTAATTTGTTAAAGGCACAAAGCGGTATGCAGAACATTAGAAACAAACTTGCATATTTTCACTGATAAAATTCTTATACAGTTACACAAACGGAGAAAATGATTAAGTTTCTATACGAGTAGTTCTTAAAAAATTTGATGATGCTCATTTTTTTTTATTAAGCCCTTTATTAATGTTTTATTTCTCACAATGTTACACACTTTTAATTCTATGGAATATCATCAGGGATTAATAATTTGTTATGACTTTGATTTTTTTCTATACATTTTTAGTTATTTTCCATCATTTTTTAAGGCTGTTTATTTCATTCACCCATGAAATGAAATATCAGTCCAAAACAAAAATATTATAGTGGCAATAAGCCATAATCACAATTAATATAGAAAATAAACTTCTAATAATTGTTGTAACCATAGATTTTTTGCATGTAAGGATGCATGTAAGTTGATTTTATGTGGCTATACTTTTTTTGTGGTAAATAGTCTTATTTGGAATGTTCATAGAAGTGGACACATAACAAACACATAGAAAGTTTTCACATTTTATTAAATATCATTACTCACATTTTACAGCAGAAAAGGTGCAAGAATATTGAGTTAGAGAAGCTATCATATAGTTTCAACTGTTTTTCATTTCAAGCTGCTTTGATCACAAATTTGGGTAAAGGGAATTAAATTTGACATAGACTTGCATAAATAAGCTGGTATTTTTGTATTGATTGACTACAACCTGTTAGAAAATCTTCTATTTATCTATTTTCAAGGTGTAAAACTCCAGTTTCTGAATTTACACAACCCAACTGAAGTTGGTTGAATATTCTCTTTTTATACTTCACAATCTGTTTTTTACTGTCTACAAATTTCTTATTTTAGATTTTATTTTTGTTGCTTTTTACTTGAACTTTCCATTTTAATATATATGTTGATCCTTTTTTGTACTTTTCTGACATACATCTAAAATCTGTAACATGCTGTTAAAATTTTAATATAGCTACTGTATCATTTGCACCATGTTTTTTTTCAGCTATACTTTCTATAAATCATATTATAAAATTGACTATGTATAAGCTCTCGTTTTAACTAATATGCACATCTGATTTCTGTTTGCATATTTTAATTGCATCATCCAGTTTATAAATAGCCCCAAATTCATATTAGTTTGATGTGGAGTTTGACTCTTTGGAAACTCAACAATTATTATTTACACTATTTACATTCATACTATTGTTCTCATCTTTTTTGTTGTTATCATGTTTCATCTGTTGTTCTCCACGGTCTTCAATACAGGGAATACCAAATTCAACCCTTTATTTAATTTACAGAGGCAAACTTATTTTGTTCTACTCCCCATGTTTATGTAGATTTTGTCTAGTTCACTGCCTGACCCAGGGTTTTGAAACCAAATACATGAACCATCACTTTAATCAACTAGGCTATTATCTCATGGGAGTAAGAGGAATACTAAAAATAAGTACTAGACAAGATATCTCTAGGTATAAACAGTAAAAAGAGAACATTCTACCCCAGTATGAAGGGTTCAGTTTGAAATTCACTGTAGGTTACTCAGATCAACATACACTTGATGAAAGTCAAAGAGCACACTGGCTGAAATGATGTGATACCAACAACAAAGGTGAGGAGAATAATTCACATGTAAATCAAGTCATCCCTGAAATATGGACAGAAACTCAACAATTATTTTTGGTTTTATTAAACTATATCCTTCTGAGATGAATTTAAAGTAACAGGTTCTTTATTCCATAAATTTAAAATATAATTGTAAACTCTTATTTTGGAAAGTGAAAATTTCACTAAAGTAGATTAGAAAATTTTCCAGTTTTAATCTAAAATCAAGAAAATATGCATAATGGTAAGAATATATAAAAAAAATGGTTCAGTTTAAACTAATGCCAGAATTCTAGGTTTTGATTGATTCGATTTCTCCGGTTTATCAACCCTGCAAACTTGCAGGTTATTTAAAGCCAGAAAATATTTTTAGATTGGTACATTGATTGACTTGATTTCTCCAGCTTATCAACCCTGAAAACCTTTTTTTAATCATTTCACCTCAAGCAAGACAATAATGTCACTAGAACACAGGTGAAAGTGAAAGAAAATGAGAAAACTGAGAATGGGGAGGATTGAGAAAAAGACAAAAAAGGAACAGGGTTCAAGAAAACAGATGATGATGAGTGATGTTGCATTTATATTTTTGAAGATTGTAGTTATCAGGGAAGCAGAAAATTGGAAGGGAGTTCCACAGGTGGGAAGTGCGAGAAAAGAAACTATTAGTAGCAGTAGCAATTGCATCTAACTAGTTCAACCTTAAAACATTAAGACCTAGATGCCAATCTAGTAGGACACTTAAATTCATGTAGTCAGTACATCAAGGAAAAAAGCTCATCAGAACAGTGGCTATGAAAATATTTATAGAAAAGACAGCGGGAAGCCACGTTACATTGGTGAGAAAGTGACTGAACGCAAAATGGTTGATCAGGATTGATTACATTGCAGGTTATTTAAAGCCCAAAATGTTTTTAGCTTGTAAGAATTTTTTTTGGTAGATAATAATGTTTTAGTGATATACATTATTTACATTATTCGAACTATTGTCCTCATCTTTGTTGCCATATTTATCACAATGTTTCGGCCATTGTATGCTCCAGCCTTCTTCAGGTGGTTGGAATTTTGAACTGAACCCTTTATTTCACTCACTGGGGTAGACTGTTCTAGTTCCACACGTGCCATGTTTGATGGATGCCAGTTATCAGTTATCTCCTGTTAATTTCCCTCTGAAAGTTCTCCACTGCCTTAACCGGGTAGTGAACACACACTCTTTGTGTCCTGTCACTGGATCTAACCAACGCCTTTATCCAGTGAGCGAAATAAAGGGTTCAGTTCGAAATTCCAACCACCTGAAGAAGGCCGGAGCGTACAATGGCCAAAACGTTGTGATAAATATGGCGACAAAGATGAGGACAATAGTCCGAATAATGTAAATAATGTACATAATACCTCATCTCAGAAATATAGACAGACTCTTTAAGTGATATGTCTTACTAATTAACCCATAGCTGGGGGGAGGTGGATTCGTGCCTTTCCCAATGGTATTTGTGCATAAGTGAATATACTGGACCCAACAGAAATTGAAACTCAGCTCCCCAAATAACAATTCTGAGCCATTATTCATTACACCACCAAGCTTACAACACCTGATATACCCAAGCACTCATCCATCTAGGTACTGATCAGGCTAAATGTTGCTTAACTTTGGTGATCATACGGGAACCATTGTTTCAACATGATGTGGCCGTAAGCCTAGAAATCTATAGTTTAAAGAGACAATACAGTAACTTATCTGTTTTAGATACATTCCAAGATCTTTAGCAGATTCCTGAAACTACAGATAATAAATACCAAACTATATAGATACTATGTGTTATCCCCCCTTTATATACACCAAAGTTTAATTTATATATTAGGCATAATAACAGATCAACAACAATAATAAAAAAAATAAAGAGAACATTTATAGCAATACAGAGTAATAAAAATTCTTTGTTTTTACCACAGCTTCAACAAATATATTTTTTCTTTTCTCATGAAGTTAAGAACTTTCATCTTTTCACTGAAAAGAAGCACTTTATGAATTCTCTTTGGAATATTTGAATCTGATTGGTTTCAAAAATAACTATTAGCTGATTTATTTAATATTTTTTAGCATAGAGAATCATTTAAAATGCTCAAGAGTAAAGCACCATTGTGTATTTGTAGCTTTCTTGATTACCTTCATGTAAATATTTTCACAAACAAAAGAATATCATTTTTACAGGCATAAATATTATTGCATTTCAATAGGTATTGGTATTTTTGATAGGATTTTTTTTTATCAGATATTATTTCTTATTGCTATAAACGTTATTTTTAGTGGGTACACATATCTGAGTTGTTAACCTTGTTTTTTTTTTTTATTTGCTTAAACAGTGGAATAAATAAAAAACCTAAATTGAGAAGTCCTACTAACAAAAAATCAGCCTCTAACAAGAATTGAATCTACATCCTCTTTTTTACATCAGGAAAACCATTTCTTAAGCTGAAGCATGCCTCTGCCAGTTCCACCATGAAGCCTGTACATTATAATAATTCTAATAGTATATATATATATATATATATATATATATATATATGTATATAAAAAACATGTGCCTCATTAAATAATTTAGACAAGGTTTGTCTACTTATTTTTAATAGGATCCTCTCATAATTACAGACAAGTTTCTTAGTATCCTTATTAAGGGAAGAAAAACAATTACCATGTTAATGCATATTAATTTTATTCTGATTACTTTCGACATTAGCATAATGTCATCATCAGGGTCTTGTTTTTTCTAAGACAAAAATTTGTTGTGTTCATCATTTTTCTAAGACAAAATTGTTGTATACATTTGAAAATTAAATTTTTACGAGTGAAATGAAAAATATTAACTTTATGTACTGTATAATTTTTAGATTTTATCACGTAGACACATGTGCAAACATCAAAGGAGGTAACTAAGTTATTGAAATGTCTAAATATTTGTAAAAAATAGAAAAAACTATTTCAAACTATTAGTTAAAATCCAGATATTTTAAACTATCTACTGTAAAAATTTTTGTTTTAGAAAAAACAAAACCCTGATGAATAAAATGAATATACGTCAACATGATACTAAGAAATTTGTCTGTAATTACGAGATGATACTATTAAAAATAAGTAGACAAACCTTGTCTAAATAATTTAATGAGACATGTATGTTTTATATATATATATATATATATATATATATATATATATATATATATATAGATAGATAGATAGATAGATAGATAGATATGATAATAACAAATGATGGTCCACATATTAACAATATTTTTATTATTTTATTGTCTTTTTAATCCTCAAATTCCATTAATTAGCCTATTGAATCTCGCTCCCTCTCCCTCTCCCCCTCTCCCTCTCTCACTTGCTATATATATATATATATATATATATATATATATATATATATATATATATATATATATGTGAATAAAGACAAAAGGAAAACTTACCTGAGCCAACATGCTTCATCCTCAGATGAACTGTATCAAGGCAAATGTAAGGACTTTATTTTGCAACAAGTATTTATAAACAGAAAAAAAATGCTATTAATTTTTCATAATTTTTAATTTAAGAATACTTATAAATATACATCAAGTTAACTGAAAGTCAAGATAATCTACGCTGAATGATGTAATTTAATGTCTAATAAACAAAAGCAAATGTTGTTACTGAATTGTTTTTTATAATGAAATTATTACTTATATTTTTAGTTGGTGATTAATTTATATATTATATATTTAAAATAATAGATGGATTTAAATTTAATAATTTTCTATGAATTGTGCATATATATATATATATATATATATCAAAGGAAAAACTTAACACATCATCAAAAAATCTGGTAATAAACTTATTTCAGCAGGTAAGTTTTTAATACAGACTGAAATTACAAAATGGTTTAAATTTATCCAGACAATATGCTAAAGTTTTTTTTAAAAATAGATCACAAGAGAACAAGAAGTAAAGTCTAAATTACTCGACCTAGACAAATTTTTCTGTAGATTTATATTATTGAAGAAATGTTGGAGGTATATACAAATCTGAAAATGTTATATACCAAGCAACCATTTTCACTAAAGAAAATGTAAATAATAAAAAGTATACATCCAAATTTCCTCTGGGATCTGGAAGCAGGGGCTCTACAATCAAAAGTATTATTTCTCTGACCATTATCTAAAAAATCAGACATCTCTTTCTAAATATTTCTGTGAATTAAAGAATAGAAACTTCACCCCAGAAATAGAATGGAAGATTATAGGTAAATCCCAAACCCATAACAGAAATAGATGTAATTTGTACCTGAAAGAAAAAATTTAAATAATTTAATATAAAAATACTAGCGAGCTATTGAACCAAAGAAATGAGTTCATATTTAAATGTTGCTATAAAAATAGATTTAAATTATCTTATCAATAGAATTTTATTTTATATTTTTTATTTTGCAGTCATACAATTATTTTGCAGTATTTATTGAAAGTCATATGCTTTGATTTATGTATATGTATATGTTTTTGTGCATATATATACGTGTGTATATGGATGCAGGTGTATGTATATATATATATATATATATATATATATATATATGTGTGTATATATATATATATATATATATATATATATATGCATGTATGTCTATATATGTGTATATGTGTATGTGCACATGTTTGTATGTATGTATATATGCATATGCATGTATGGAGTGTCATATATATGGATGTATATATTTTTATTGTGTATGTATATGTATGTATACGCTTATAATGGTGTGTTTATATATATATATATATATATATATATATATATATATATATATATATATGCAGGTGTTTATGTGTGTTTATGTATATGTATGTTGGTGTTTATATGTAAGTATATGTGTACATGTATATATATATATGTGCATATATGTATACATGCATGTATGTATGTATGTGTATATGTATGTGCAAGCATTGTATACATGTGTTGCTTATTTTTAGAATATTGTCTGGATAAATTTAAACCATTTTGTAATTTCTGTCTGATGAGGCAGGTATTAAAATCTTACCTGCTGAAATAAATTTATTACCAGATTTTTTATGATGTGTTAAGTTTTTTCCTTTGATGTATATCATACTTGCTCTGTATGCAATAATTTGAGCTCTCTTCATGGAATTATCTTTTAATATTTTATATTAAAAAGACCTACTTGGATTATCCTTTCCCTTACAAATTTTTTATATATATATATATATATATATATATATATATATATATATATATATATATATAAAAACATTAGGCAGCATATGATTTACATACAAAGAAATAATCACATAGAATTAATCAAGTATTAATGCGATTATTGGCGACATCCATCGCTAGAAAACATAATATATGCATTAAAATCCTGTTCATCCATAGTGTGAATTTTGATCCTTGTCGAAAAACTTGTTGTCTGTAGTTTTTCAGTTTATTTGATGTTAAAATGCTAGTAGTTACGGATAGTCTTCTATCCATCATCAGGCATGTGTTTTATACAATACACTTGTAAAAATAGAATACGTGGATTTAACACATCACAAGAAATATTTAAATAAAATTCTCACTTAAAAAATTTTGAAAAACTTAGCGTTGCGTCTTTGCACGTTCCGAGATCTTACACAACCGTCAATAATAGCAGATATTCAAAAAACATCTTTTGGTCGACATACAGGTATATCGTCTCAAGTTTTTTTTTTGATTTCATAAGGAAAAAAACACATGCCTGATGATGGATAGAAGACTATCCGTAAGTACTAGCATTTTAACATCAAATAAACTGAAAACTACAGACAACAAGTTTTTTCGACAAGGATCAAAACTCGCACTATGGATGAACAGGATTTTAATGCATATATTATGTTTTCTAGCGATGGATGTCGCCAATAATCACATTAATACTTCTGATTAATTCTATGTGTGATTATTATATATATATATATATATATATATATATATATATATATATATATATATATATATATATATAAGGTATATTTAGTATTCATTCAAACAAGTTTGATTAAAAAAGACACAACAAGATCTGTTTGCTTCATTTTTATCATATTTTTGTAATTTTCAAATTGGGTGGTGTATATTGTTCTCAAAGTTATGGATAACCTCTCTGTAGTTCATATTTTGTTATTGTTTTGTTCAAATGTTTTCAACAATCACAGTCATTTTAAAGAATCAATGTGGTGTCTGTGTGGTAGTTAGAATTCTTTTACCCACATCATAGTATTCTTTGGAAAGCTTGAAATATATCTATGGTGGAGTCATTTTTAATGGTTATTAAGAACAAGGACACAAAAAAAATGAAATTTATTTATTTTTTTGTTTACTATTATTTATAATTTATTTGTTTTTATTTTATTATTTCACTTATTTGTTTAGTTGTATGTTTTTTTTCTTATATTAATATAATATATGTGCATATTAAATATATCATGTGCATTTCAAGGTACTGTCTTAAACAAATAGAACTTGTTGGTCCTTTTTAATGAAAATTGTTTGTCATAATATATATATATATATATATATATATATATATATATATATATATATATAAATTATATTAAGAAACAATCAACTTTTAGGGTTCATGGTGATTATAATTTATTTCCTTAGAATCGAAATTCTATTATAAT